ATCTGGTGGCACAGCCGGTAGAAACTCACGTTAACAACCGTAACACTTCCTCACATTTCCCCAAATTGTTACCTTTTCTTTTCTTTTGTCCGCCATGTCGAGCTTTCACGCAGGTTACCGCTGTACACTCGTTCCCAGACTCCCGTTCCCGGCTCCCCGTTCCCCGTTACCAGTTTTAGTGACATCCGCGCCATGGACAACTAGACGGCGAATTTCGCTGGTCGCCGGAGCTTACAGAGAACTCTGCTTATCAGCTTAACTTCCCCGTGAATGTCTACTTAAGGTGGCTTACTACAATTTCTCTGAGATTCAGTAGCACATGCTACGACTGCCTGCCAGACGTCTTGAGGTACACATACAGAAATGATGCAAGTAACCTTAAGAAGAAATGAAAACAACTTCAGCACTTGAATCATGTTGAACCAATTTGGTATATGAAGCGATAGTTTCAAACTGCTTTCAAACGTGTGGTTAAGCCTAGGACTAATCAAATATGACAAAAAAGGTAGATAAACAACTGGTAAAAGAGTTCTAATTTACTCTTGCTTTCTCGCAACAGACCTGATGCCCAGCATCACATGAGTGCATGCTTTAAAATAAAAGGCATGGGCAGTTCAATTCTGGTCCATGGTTGTAAAAGCCAGGGTCCGAAATTTAACTTTTTTAGGCAGGCGCCAACTGGCGACTGAAATTTTTTTTTCAGTCGCCATAGCGAAAAATCTGGTCACCAAAAAGTGTCAATAAAATTTTTCCTTCGCAGCAAAACACAAACCAAAATTTTTGGTAGCCAGATGGAAAATTCTGGTCGCCAATATTTTTTTTAAGAATCAGGACGAAGAGAACGCGTTTGGGGCCTTAGTGTCGATTTTTCCGCTAACGAATAAGATTAAATACAAACATGCTGATTATTTATACACCTACCACTGAAAAGCCACGACGAACGAATCGAATGCTGGCCATATACGCAGTTTCGTGTGACTTTCGTGTCAACTTTATACCTTTTCTTGTCTCTACCTTTTGGAGAAGAAATGTATCCGACTGAAAAACTGCCGTTTGGTTCTTTGCTCTGTGTTCAAAACGATTTTTCCTTTCGCGTTCTGTCAAGACCACCCATGAAAATTCGTCTTCCCATTGGGGGTAGAAACTTGTGTTTAGCTGACGACTTTTTGATTGGATGGTTTCCTTCCCCGTCCATATCGGCACATTTTTCCGTTATTGCCGGCAAAATATTTGCAATGGATGACATACATCAGGAATCAAACCAGTGCTGAAATCATCTTTTGACCACTTTGACAGACGCCCAGAGAATATCTAAATCTTCAAGTAATCTCTCCGCGCATGTTCCGTCTCCACTTTGTAATAAATTACGGAAAGATTTCAGAACATCTTTGGACACCACATCGCCTGGATGAATATTCATGACCAAAGAACGCACAGCCTCTTGCGCCCGCAATACTTATGTTACGGGAAACCGCTAAAGAAACATGACAGCGAGGCTTCGCACTGATCGTGACTGTGAAACGTTGTAGTAGATTTATAATAACAGGAAAATTGGTTTTATACTTCAAAAGCAGCGGAAAGGTAAAAAGCGACCAATTGGTAGGCGGCTTTGAATTTTATTTTAATCGATTTGGCTGAAAATCAAAGTTATTGTTTGTGTAATCATCGTGGCATGAAATAGTTAATCGCCCGCTGGCGACCAGTTGTGAAATTCTGGTCGCCAGTACAAAATTTTTAGTCGCATTGGCGACCAGGAAAGCGCAATTTCGGACCCTGAAAAGCCAGTCTTTGGTCCAAGATTTCTCACAAACCTGCCATACAACCTGTGATGGAATTTTCACGGTTGATTTGTTGGCAGGGGTGATTCATGTAAATTTAAAAAATCTGTAAGACAGAATCTAACTGAGCTATTTTTGAAAATGGGCAAAATTTCGCATTTTCTTAGTTTGCCTAAAATCTGTCTTATAGATTTTTATTTTACTTTGCATGAATGTTTAATCAGGGCCAATTTCTAATTCCTGAAATTTTGGGGTGGGGTCCTACAGATAGATTTTGAGAAAAATGTCATTCATTAAACCTACTTAAGTGCTTCAGCGTCTCCTTAGGTACTAATGGTTGTTAGTTTTGGCCATTTGTTGACATAATTTTAAATATATTTAATTGTTCCAAACTTCATTTGAAAGATGGAGACCAGCTCTCGCTTTCATTTTGAGGCTAATAGCTTGGTTTTCCATAGGGTGATTCCAGAAAATATCCATACCCTCCCACGGACAGCATGAAAATTTTAAACCCCCTTGCCTTCGGGAATTCCAGAATGCTCTACCCCCCATGCCCCTGAATTCAAAAATCGTTAACACCTCCCCCCCAGAATTTCCAATTTTTTTCAGACCCTTTGGAATTCCTGTTTGACTGCCTAAGACTTGTAACGAATGCATTGGAAACTTACTCTTTTTTCCCCCTCCAAGAAAATTCTGCTCACAATGTTCAGTCAAGCAAACAAGCAACTCAAGTTTGTTATAAACAGTTAATAAAGTACACCATACCTCTCCCTTTTAAGTGTTATCTTTAAGTTGCTCACCATCAAATAAAACTTTTGGTTTTCAGTTCATTAGCTTCATATTTTCAGGAGAGTAGATCATACTGATACAGTTACCAGTAGAAGACAAGTATAAAGTTCACGATGTGCAGGCTGTGACCTGTCATATTGAAAATTGCGCTCACTGAGTAACTGTTGACCTCTTGCAATGCAGCCTACAAATGCTGCATTGCGAGTTTTTCGCATGCAACAAGATCGTCAATCAACAATTTTAGATTGGAAAGAAACAGACTTGTATCTATTGACTAATTCATGAACTTTAAGGCCTCTTCGATGTGGAGCTCACTGCACAACCCATCCGCTCACTCATCCGCATGAACACAAACACCTGCTTGATCGATCTTTATCCTGCTTCTGCGGTCAGTTTGTGCTTGGTTTACAAACTAGAAAAATTATCAGATCAGCAATTTCAAGGGAAGCTTTCAAGCTTTCATGGTCTTCCCCCTCTAGAAATTCAGAGCTGAAACCCCCATACGTTTAGAATTCCAAACTGCATCCCNAACTTTGTAAACCCCTCCCCCATGTCTTCTGAATTCTAGTCCAATAAACCTCCCCCCTCCCCCTGGGAATTCTAAGATGCTTCCCAAGGCATGGGTATGGACATTTTCTGGAATCACCCATTTGGGCATGTGCAATTTAATACAAACTTTAGTAAGAGTACCCGTTTCTGTTTCTTTTGGTTTTCTTTTTCTCTTTCTTTCTTCTGTGGTTTTGTTATTCTTTTAGTCACCTCTGTTCTTCTTCGAAAGTTTTGACAGGATGGTCTACAAAAGTTGTCAAAATAGACTGAAAGTGTCCATGATAGATAAGTGTCAATTTTCTCTTTGGTTTTGAGAGGAAAATTTTGCGGGTTTATTGCGTTTACCTCCATCTGGCCAAATTAATCCTATCACACCCATTTAGATGCACTTTGAAAGGCCTCTTTCCAGTTCATCGGCTGCCTATCAAAAACCTCTGTCATGGACAGTGACGATGTCACAAGTACAAGGACTAAAAAGCTCTTTCAAAACTGGTTTATGAGTCAGTGAGAGTAAAATTATTTTAAAAGAAATTTCACACTGTCCAATCACCTTCACTGACTATTTACAGGCAATGAAAGGAATAAACATGTTTTCAAGTTCTTTGCTTACGTACATTTTACAGATCACCAAGGATATCAAACAGAAAGTGAGAACAGCACCTCTTCACAGAAAGACATGAGTTCTTCTGGCAAAGATGTACTTGATGCTAAGTTTGGTATGGAGTTTTCTTTGTATGTATTTGACCCTGTTTAATCAGGACTCAGTAAAAAAGAATGAAGGGGGAAACATTGCAGTTTAGTTGTTTAAAGTACCAGCTTAAATATGTGTAACTTAAACTTTACCATACCAGCCCAGCCCAATTGTCATACAATAGCTGACCGCCTGGCATGACAATAAAAAACTTACAGAAACTTTATAAAGGAATATTCAATTAAAGTCTTCTTAAAACCTGCCGAAGATCTTCAAAATCCTAAACATAATGAAGATCTTTGCAAGATCCTTTACAATCCCTAGTAAGGGTCGTAAAGACCACTGAACATCTTTATCAAGAATTTGGAAAATGCTTGAAACTTGTAGAGGATTTTGTTGCATGCAAGTGAATGATAGCGGTCAATAGTGGTCAATGTTTTTCAATAGATTAGATGTCCATTGTTCATGTTTTTGCAGGATCTGTACCTGTGTCTGCTGAGAAAGGTAAGGGAACATGTCCTGTCTATGATAATGGCAATGGAGAAAACATGCGACTTATCTGCACTGCAGGGTTCTTTGGAGAGCATCAAGCATTTATTGGTTGGCAGACCAGACAAGGACTTGGTTAAGGGGTGTGAGTGAAGCTTTATAATTTTGGAAGCAATTTGTAACTCATAATTATTTTTTCTTGCTTTTGCAGGATCTGTACAAGAGTCTAGTGAGAGAGGTAAGGGTGCATGTCCCGTGATAATGGGATTAAAGAAGACATGTGACTAGTCTGCAGTGTGAAGCATTAAGTATTCATTAGTGAGCAGGCCAAAAAAGAGAAATTGACCGAGAGGTGGGACTGGAGTGAAGCTTATTATAAGTAATAGTGCAAATTATGTGCAAGTCAATTATGCACAATTTTGTTGGTACACTTTAAAGAGTCTTTTTCTTTCTTTACCTTTCGTTCTAATGTCCTGTAATAAATTCAATACCGTCAAAGGAAATAGCCTCCTACATAGATACTCTTTGGTTTCATCATGCAATCTTTGCCATCACATGGTCATGTGATTGATCCCGTGACTATGTTACCCACCAAAATGACGTCCTGTCAGTATTGCGTAAGAAAACCCAGTGGGTGTTTAGTAGGTACATGCTGAAGTCTCTGTCAAATTTAATGCAATGACTCCACCGCTTGATTACGAAAAGTGCCTGCCCACGAACGTCTGCTGAAACAAACAGCACATTCCTTTCCCTTTGTTTGTTGATTGATCAGCTGGAGATAATGTGGAAATAACTTTAGAGCCTTAGTATTTTGCTCTTATGTATTGTAATTTAGTGGTTTAAGTAGGAAATAAGGTATTTAATTGTGTATGTAATTGAATAATTAAAAATTAAACAACAACAAAAAAAACTTTAGAGCCAATCGGCGCAAAGTCATTGTGTGATAAAAAGCCAATCGTGTAAAACTGAATAGGTTCCCTTGGGGCGATAACCACAATGCGTAATGGTAGATGTCACGTTGGCAACGCTGCAATTTTTTTCAATCCAGTCTAAGTTTTTAGATTTACGAACCCTTCATCTTTTTCGCCACAAAATACACTGATAGTTTGTCGAGCAGGACTTAAACATGATATTGTTAATGTCTCACATTTTCATTGAAAGGCCACGCTAGTATTTTGCTGTCTTGGGATCATTTCTCAATTTTCAAGTGGACTTCCCGCAGATATAGCCAAACAATGCAAAATGTCTACGTATGAACACGTCCATCTCTTTCTTCCCAAAACAGTCTGCATCTTCTTGCTGATAAGGCTCCAAATCAATGATTTCATCGCAGTAATGTCCAAACACTCCTTGAAAAGGCCATGCTCGTATCCGTTGAAGTTTCTGGCAAATTTTCTCAGGGTCCAAAGTTCACCGCCTTGATCGGGAAGTGCGCTGTGATTGGGCTACGTGAATAGCCCTGTGTTTCAGCACACGTTCATGGGGGAGGAAGATTGTGTGACGAACTCAATGAACGTCTGGAGGCTAGAGACGAAACTGCAACTGCCTAATTACATTTTGTCAAGGGGTCATTTACTAAAACTTACCAAGTCCAGAAGTGTTGTCCTTGTAACGAGAGATAACGGTAAAATGTTGTCTTTAACGGCGCACAAACAGCGCTAACTGTTACATTGCGAAACTGACCGCAAGACGCATAAATTACAAGACTGCATCTTAAATGCCGCATATGTGCACGTGCACTTACGAAAATAACAACAATCATAATAACACTTAATTACGGGCATGCATAGTTCGTCACATCTTGCCCTTTAAAGGAAAGCTAAAGTCATCACTCATAAGGATATTGTTCTTACTAAACGTCCAATTAAGACATGACATAGTCCTTGAAATAGCCAGGAGGGTTTCTCCGTCTTGTGGACCTTCTGATCTCCTGCTCTCCAGATGAGCCCGGTGCTGGCGTAGGTTCAGCTACGAAGGGCAAC